CCATTCTAATCATTGCACTTTCCAACTCGAAAGACAAAAATTTTAAAATATTGTAAATATATTCATTTATTTGTTTATCCTAAAGATCGAGTCTCCAATTACAACACCATCTCTCAAGTTCAATTAATTATTGTGTGAGTGCACACCAATTGTTCAGTGCTTCGCTTCTGCGAATAAATTTGGATGGACATCATATACTTTTTCTTGTTTCTCTTTTCAAAACTCTGGCACCTGAATATGCAACCAGTGTTGCCTCATTGATCTAAGTGTCCAAGGATCAAAACTTGTTGTTGTGGTACTGTTCCATGGTTGTGTACTGGGTGGATGAAATCAATGATGGATCTCCCGTGAAAAGGGGTGGAGGAATGTCACGTTTCTATTATATGTCGTTGACAAGTAATTAACTTTATGGTGGTTGTGCAATTTGGCAATTATATCTGTTAAAACGTAAATGCATTGAACATGAAGAATATATTGGTTTTTGGTATAACATTGAGACACGGATAGTGTAAGGGAATCATGTACTGGAATGAATTGTTAATATGTTAAAAATTTAATGTAATGGGAAAGGGGTTTGTGCAACACTTTTGTTGTCCTTGTATTGTAATTTTGGCAGACCAACTTGGTACAAGTTGTATTAGTTTAGTTAGTCTTTTTTCTTTTAACTTATTATTATTTCAACAAAACTTATCTTGTTGGCTTATATTGTGCAATTAGATGATCAATAAATTTTCAATTGTCTTACTACTAATAAAATAAACTTCCTTCAATAATACAACAACAAATACACAATAATTATGCAAACAGTGCTCAAAAGGTGAACTGTTTGTTAGTGACCCCAATTGTTTCATAACTAATACACAAAAAATACAACTCTAAATAATTATAATGCCTTTGATTAGTTTTAATCCCTTGAATGTTGAATAAGGTTTGAAGACATGTCATTTAATGATGGAGTACTTATACCATCAACAGGTGCTTGCATAATAATAAAAGAAATAGTTACCATCTTTACAAAAACTCAGTAAAACTAAAATGATTATCAAATGTTTGAAGAGATTGATCATATGCTATATCCTCAAAAGCGGAAAGAAGTATAGTTTGAAATTTTAAAATATTAATATTTTTTAATAAATTTATTATTAAATAATTATTTAATTTAATATTTTATAATTTAAATAATTTTTATACATTTGGAATACGTTTCAAACAATTCAGTCGAAGAATGAAAATTTTTTCATTATAAATCAAAATATATCAATGTATATATCGTAGATAAATTTTTAGGAGTTTTTTTCTTCTTCTTTTAAATCAAAGCTCAATCCAATTTTTTAGTGACTTATGTGTCTTTAAACTAGATTTATGTTTGAATCCCTTTGAATACTTAATAACATCATTCACCAATGTAGGATTATCATTGTTGTGACTATTCATATTCTTTTGCCTTTAAGCACAACTCTCGAATCTTCTTACATGTAACATTTACATCATTATCCATAATTGTGATATTCTTCACAAATTGACATATCATGCATTTGTTCTCATTTAATATTAAACATAAAGTTTCTTTGTTACGCAATATCAAAATGTAGTTTTTTTTTAAGTTATCCATGTCACAATTTAGTTTATTTTAACAATCTAGTGGTTAGGTCAAGTTTTTTTTTTTCTTCCAAAGTTACCATAAGGTTAATGTCTTTATATAAGTTAGAGAAATTGAATCCTCTAAATATAATGAAGATGTATTTCTTACAAGTTATTTTTTTTTTATAATTCTTATAACCACATACACATGTTTTTTAATTTTATTTTCACTTCATTTTCTTTAAAAAAATTATAACATCATTTTTATAATTTTGTTCCCTTTCTCTCTCTCTTTTCTTTACACCTCAATCTACGGTTAAATGGTCACATTTACATCTATCCTTAACAAAATTCCTCCACAATTGTATAGGAATTCCAACATTTATTTATTGATAACAAAATACTTGTTCCTGTGTTAGGATATACACTTCACTTATCCTTGTTGTAGCGAGTCTGATCCTGGGTCTCGGTCTTCTCGTTCCTATCCGGGTAATCCGATGTGAGGGGGTGTGCTTGCAAAGACACTCCAACGCTCAAGTAAGTGCTCAGCGTAATAAATGTGGTAGTTGAAAGTTAGTTACGTACCTCGCTAGGATCCTATTTATAGTAATTCTTATTGGGCCGCGATTAAGGACTGGGCCCCGGGAAATTAGGGGACTAATCCGGTGCATTACATAAATTAACCTCTCCATAATTATTCTGGCGTAAATCCGTGACTTGGCCGAGCGTGGTCGGTGGACTCGGGTATTCGACCTGGTCGTCCATGAACTCGGGTATTCGGCCTAGTCGGCCACAAACTCAGGTATTCGGCCTAGTCAGCCACCATACGGTATAATACTCAAATCACTGCTTAGTAGGAATGCAAATTCGTACAACCGTGGGTATATATTTAATTGCACGTTATTATTTATAATTGCCTTTTACATTTTTCCCACCTTTAATTTCTGTTTCTTTTTTTCCAGCTTAACACATTTAAATTCGTATTTTTAGTGCATTAAAAAGTCGCAATAAATAACTGTTATCATAAAGTAATAAAGAAACATATAATTGAGAAGGACAACATCATTATTAAAATAAAATGACATCATTAGATAAGAACTGCCCCGGATGCAGTTAATATATAATCTCAAAGGAATGAAGGGATCCGTTTTCAATTGATTTCATGAATATCTTGTTCGACCAAACCCATACCGTCACCGTGACAACTGACAAGTCAACAATGTCTACGATCGGACACATTAGTCGCCACAGTGGTCACTAAATAATTATATTTTTTTTATTACATTATCATCAAATTATTGGTGAAGAGGAAAGAGAACGGAAATACGATAAAAAAAATTAAAATTTAAAAGGAAGAAAAGTATTTTCTAAAATTATTTTCAACTAAATAAAATTTTATATCAATCTTCCTGTTTCTTTTCATCTGCATTTTTTTTATGCAATTACATCATAAAATAAAACTAACACATATTAAAACAGATATAACAAATTGTTAAAAGTAATCACAACTAAATTCTATTTTATGCATAAATATTATCACTTTTTTTTATACATATGATATAAGTATCATCATATCAATAGCTCATTTAAGTTCGTGTCAAAATAAAAGTGTTACACAAAAATAATGTTATTGATTACTTTAAATAAAACTTACTTTTTTTTTTGGTTAAAAATTACTTATTCTTAAATTAATAAAATTTATATTAAATATCATTATAATTTAAAAATATAAATTTTAAAATATTTTATTTTTATAAAATTGTGATAATTGAAAAACAAGGCTTTAAACATTCACCTAGATATGTTTTTAACACTACCTATAATTAACAAAAGATTCCTAAAGAAAGATTGAAAAGATGTATGGCTCTTCATTTTGAGATTTTATTTTATTTATTTTTCATTTTTAATTATGAATTTGTTACATTTTTTTTCTTTCAAATATTTGTATTGAAATATATATATATATATATATTTATTATAAATTTTTGAAAATAGAGAACACTAAAAGTGAGATGATGGTTTTGTAATAATATTTTCATGAAAATGTAAAAAATTACTTTTTAACAGACTTGTAACTTCCTTCTTTCTTATTTAGATAATTTTAAATTTTAAAATATTCCAAAGAATATTAAAATGCAACTAAACAAACTTTCTAGATGTACCCATAAATAACATTTTAATTAAATTATCTTTGAGAATAATTTTGTAATTCATAAAATGAATGCTTAAAACTATTTATTTATTTGAATTTGAATGTTGTTTATTGTTAATGCAATGTTAGGTTGTTTCAATTATTTCATGTAACTAACAATGTGACATAACCTTATCTTATCTTATGTCATATATCTCATCCCATCCCATTTTATAAAATAAAACAAATCCTACAAATATTATACTATAACTTTAGATTGTATTTGGTTGTAAGTATATAAATATGTAAGAAATATAGTGAAAATAAATAGAAGAGAGAGAAAAAAAGTGAGATAAAAACGAGTTTGTTTGATTTGATAGAAATAAGTAAAAATAAAAGAGAAATGATATTATAAAATTATTTGGTTTAAAATGGATAAAAAAAATAAATTATGATTAGAAAAAATTACAATTTTATCCTTTTAAGTTATGAAGTATTTAGAAGTTTTTTTTCTCCAATTAATTTCATTTTTTAATTCAAATATTTAAATAATATGCATGTATTCAAATAAAGAATATTATAGAATATGACATTCGAATAAACCTACTTAGCACGAATTTATTCAAATAACATGTATACAAATAAAATATATGACACTTGAATAAAACATGTGACATTAAAATGTCATACTTCTTTTAATACAAGTCTCATACATTCAAATACAATAATCAACAATACATCCCCATTTGAATAAAACACTCCATAATTATAAATCCATTTAAATAAAAGTGTAACAGAGAAGAATATATAAAGATAAAAGAGTAAAAAAACTTATCTCTTGACAATTTCCACTAAATTGAGAAAAATTTTTACAAACATAAAATCTACCTCTATAAATATCTTATCTAATACAAATCAGATTAACCAAAGGAATCTATGTTATTTCTTATTTATTTTCAGCATTTCTTTGCTATTTGCATTGCAATTAGGTAGAATGGGTCCGGCAGTGTCAGCATAAGGTTAAAAAGGTAGGTCCCACACGTGGACATTTCCACTTCATCAGTGTCCTCGTTTAGCAATTAATTAAGAGATCCCCCCAATCAAATACTACTTTATTGCTTACGGATGACGATTACCACCAACACTAATCAGACAAAAAATAAAATAAGTAAATTCACTTATTCGCATGTCTAAAAAAATTAAAAAACATCGTTCTTATTTGGGTTCAGTGGGAGCCACGGAATAAGACGTTTCGCTCGCGCGTGAGATATATACGACAGAGCGTTCTACGTTACGCGTGCCACAAAACTTGGATCACTATTTCTTCTCGTTTCCCACTCTCACTGTCTCGCTTCCAAACTTTCTGCGTTTTCCGCATTCACCAGAGTTTCGGTGCTGATAGTACACAACCTCACCATGAACACGCTCCTCCGATCCACTCTCAGGACCAAGGCACGCGTAATTCTATTTTTTATTTTTATTTTTATTTTTTCTTGTTAGTTGAATCTGCTCATGTTTTGCTGCTTCCGATTTTGCGAAACCGACTTGCGCTTATGGATTAGATTGATGATTGATGGAACATATCCAGTTAATCTTCCATTGCTATTGTTAACTTGTTGTATGTAATTGGATTTTCGACATGCTGTTGCGACTAACGCCGTTTACAGCGACGACGGAGTTTTGTGAAATTGGACTAGATTCAAGCTTATGAAAATGAAAATATATCAATTATATCGATATGGAAGTGGAACTTCTGTTTTACAAACTCGAATGACTTTTTTTGTGTGAATATTATAAGTGACTAGTCATCGTGCACTTCACCTTTTGCTAACTTTTCTCTATTTAACTAGTTGTAAAATTTCATCACCTTTTGCTGTTTCTATTTTAGAATATCAGCACGGTTTAAGCTATGTTTCCTTCGCGTTGTTTAGAACATCTTATTGATTAGATTTATAACGGCGTTTTCATTTTATACTTTTTAACGCATCCGGGATTCCAAGAATTAGCCGTACGTTGCTAGTATCGAATATTCGTGAACCTATATTTCTGAGAAAAATTATCTCGAGAAAGACTAGTATATACTTTATCCCCTCGTGAAATGTGTTTAAAAATCATAAAATTATGGTTGTGTTATTCTCGGTAAATTCAAGGACTCTAGCATCTGTAACATCTGAATAAGAAGCAATTTCGGAATTTTCTGAAGGTTGTTATCCAGAATTTCGAAATGACGTCTGCCTGCTTGTGTTGCTGTGTTCTTGATGGTGATCTACATACCTTGTATGCTAATTTGTTGATTTCATTTTATGTAAATGGATGGTTCAAAAATACTCTTATTTTTTACTTATAACTCTTTCGTTTTATGATGCTTGTTTCGTTTTCTATTTACAGACTGCTTCATCTTTAGCATATGCTGCGGGTTCCAGAAGTGTTCAGGAAAATCTCCTTCAGGTTCCTCCATGGTCTAGATCAAATAGTACGGAGCCTTCCTTGGCAAAGGATAATGATGTGAAAAATGGTGAAAGGTATAGGTTCTTCTATGTCAACCGTTTGCCACTTTCTTATGCGTGCTTTAGTGTGTTGGCTCTAGCTCTGTCTTACGTGTATCTTAACTGGTATAGTGCCTTTGAACGCAAAATGACAAATGTCAGTAATTGCTTTCTAATAAAATATGGTGCCCAATATTGTCACTCCTTTTTTTTTTTCTTTCCTTTTTTTTTTTTTGAGATTTCAAGCTAATTGTATTAAAGCAGAGGTGTGGAATACCCTTTTATTATACAGAGGGAGAAGTAAGTGACTGGAACATCCCTCTGGTGTCAGTATTTATGATTTTGATACAATCCTGTTTTGAGTTCATTGGCTGTTATAATAACTATAAGTTGAAAATATATTTGTTTGGAGAGTTCATGTATGAACTCCTTTTTTTTTTTTTTTTTTTTAAACAAAACATTGAAAAATCAGTTTCAAGTTAGAAATTTGCCAGCCTTATATGATTACTGTGAGTAAAATTGTTGAAAAGCTTCAATTTTCTCAGTTTCAAGGGCCATGGTATGCTTGCTCCTTTCACAGCTGGGTGGCAGACTACTGATTTGCATCCTCTGGTTATAGAAAAGTCAGAGGTGAAATTTGTTGCTATGTTTCTTTGATTTTAATTTTTTTTTTAATTACTGTAATGTAATATATTTCGGAAATCCTAGTTCCCTTTGTTTTTTTTTTAAATATTTAATGATAACTGTTTTTTCAATTGTGTTATTACCTGATTAATGGATCCAGGGAAGTTATGTATATGACATTAATGGGAAGAAATATCTTGATGCACTAGCTGGTCTATGGGCCACTTCTTTAGGTATGTATAATATCTACTTTGCAAATATTTTCGTATCTTTTATGAATGATATAAGTCTTTTGGTTCAAGTTATCAATCCATCTTGGAAGCATGGGTGGCTATAAATCTAACTCTATTGTTATTTTTGCATGTTATCAATCCATCTTTAACAAATTTAATGTTACTAACTAAATTAACCAACTTTTTTAATGGGTGAGTTAGTTAAAAGAGTTTTATATTTAGTGAGGGAGGTAGAATTGTAAAATGATTGGGTTTTTGAAGATGGAAGTGAAAAGAGTTTATGGTTTTCTTAAATTATAGTAAGTAATAAAAGAAAGATACATTTAGTCATGTTTCTGTTAGGTAATTGTAGAATGGTTGCATTTATGTTCATATTGTTAACTGTATTGTTTGGTTGCTGAAAATTATGATGTGATTATCTCCTTAGTTGTTTGTATCCAACCTATAGTTTAAACAATGTGCAAGCCTACACACACAATTTTACCAAAATATTCTTTGTTTTTTACATTAATCATGATCCATCCATAGTGACCTGTTATTGTTTTGCTGCCAATTCTCCTAGTCCTCAAGATTTGCCTCATGACCAGTTTCCCATCCCACTGGCTCTACAGTATACCCCGATTCTGGTCACTGGAATCTTAGTTTTCTCTCCTACTGTAGCTTCCATATACATTTTTCCAGCGAATAGGTTATATTAACTTTTCTGGTGTGTTTTTCCTCTCTGCGGCTGCTACCATCTTTGGTCCGACACCTTTGTGGTCTCTGTTCGAGTGTTTGACTAACTGGACCCACCATTTTTACTGAGAGCTGATTTTGTCAGGAAATCTGATTTGTGATGAACTGCAAAGAAATGTCATCATGATTAAAATATTAAGCATACAGATTCTCACATAATTGTGGGGGATATATTCACAATTTCACATATGGAAGTTATAAATAATGTAAATGTTTTGTTAATATTTTTTGTGCATGAAAGTAATTTAATCTGAAATCAAATGTATTTTATTTTGCAGGGGGAAGTGAGCCACGTCTTGTTGATGCTGCCATTGCACAATTGAAGAAGTTGCCATTTTACCATTCCTTTTGGAATCGAACCACAAAACCTTCTTTGGTATTCATTTAATTCTCTTATACCTGGAATTGTGTTGTTTTAACATATCTTTATCCAACTCATACATACAAGCATTACCTTCTTAGGTACCTTTTCATGCGAATAAATAAATTAAGTACCTACCTTGCTTGTAATGTACACAGTTGATATTGTCTTAGTTAATTTTACATTTGATTTGTACTTGATATATATTTTTTACATACAGGATCTAGCCAAGGAACTCCTAGAAATGTTCACGGCCAGAAAAATGGCGAAAGCTTTTTTTGTTAATAGTGGATCAGAAGCCAATGACACTCAGGTTTGGTGGATTAATATTCCCTTGTTACAGTCTCATTTTCTTTGGAAATTTTATTTGATTGTAAAAGTAGATGTTTAGAATGTGTTAACTTTCTTGTGCAAAACAAAATTTTATAATCATTACCACAGACTACATATATGATATAACGCATGCAATAGGAACCACCAAGAGGGGAAATCTACGAACAATCAAGCACCTAAAATATTAGATGACAAAATCAAATATATTCTCAATGCCTAATATTGTTCTTTAAATAAATGTAGATCGGTTTTTATCAGGGTTTAAGAGCAAATGGAGATGAATATATGTCATGTCAACAAATTGTTGAAGTGTACATAGTTTATGCAGTATATATTCTTATACATATTTCACCTTTGCATATTTTATTTCAGGTGAAACTTGTATGGTATTATAACAATGCACTTGGAAGACCAAATAAGAAGAAATTCATAGCTCGTGCTAAATCGTATAAATGATATCTCAACCAATGTTGTTTTCTCTAGTATACCTGAAAAATATGCATAATATCTGATGCATTTTCGCTTTTGTCAGGTATCATGGTTCAACATTGATAGCTGCCAGTCTTTCTGGGTATAAGGAACTCAAAAAACTTTTTGTTATTCAGTAAATTAGTTCTTATGTAGAACAGTTTTATGTTATTCATAAAAATTCTTTCTTCAATTTACCAAACAATTTGTATTTCAGCCTTCCGGCTCTGCATCAAAAATTTGATTTGCCAGCTCCTTTTGTATTGCACACCGACTGTCCACATTACTGGCGGTATCATCTTCCAGGTTATTTATTTGGATGTACATTTTCTAGTAATATTTTAGATATTTATTCTAAGGCATAAATATCATGCATGCTTATGAACATTTCAGGTGAGACAGAGGAAGAATTTTCAACTAGATTGGCCAACAATTTGGAGCAGCTGATTCTGAAAGAGGGACCAGAGACTGTAATACATTCTTATGCTTGCAAAGTGATTTCTACTGCTGGAACATTGTTTGTCACTGACTTCTTTTTTTGCTATTATTATTACAGATTGCTGCATTCATTGCTGAACCTGTAATGGGTGCAGGAGGTGTAATGCTTCCACCAGCAACTTATTTTGAGAAGGTATATTGTTGTTATCATTGCTTCCTAATTCACATGTGTTCTACATTTTCAAGATGGATGCCCAGTGAGTCTTTTTATATGCTTTGCTGTAACAATGCATTTCATTTGTATTCCTGGTCCCAATAGGAGCTCATATGTTGTAGTTCGTAGAATTAAGTATGCTCCTATGAGTCCTATCATCCTAATAATTTATGGGAGAATAATATCAGCTCCATTGGTTTCAAAACTACCAGCTGAGGTGCACCGTTATCATGAAGCACTTATTATAATCTAATGATTGCCGTGCTAAAAATGAGAAAATTACTAAAAGGAATTCTTCGTAGAAAACTTCTACTTTTGGTACTGCTATTTTATTTAGTTTTGGGCTTGGGCTTGAATTATTAGTATTAGGCTAAATAATATAGTATAAATAGTTGCATTTGGTTATTAACTAGTTATATTTTTGCGTAATGGTCTGTCAATTTAATATCCACTTTCTTTTAATCATTTTCCTTTTCTAAACTCTAAAATATATACTGACAGGTGATATAAAAAAAAATCACCATACAATTATTTGGATATTTTGTGATGGAATTAAGAAAAGTTTTCTTTCCATTTTTAGTTAAAATAAAGTGGTTTACTCATCAAACTAAGTGTGCATCATTAATCCATCATATAGTTAATATTCTTTTTTTGTTAACTGGAATTCTTTGTTATCATTAATTCCATTGTGATTTTTCTGAAAACTCTTGATGTTCTAGTTATACTTTTAAAATATTCCACAGCATCCTCTTTCATAGACACTATTGTGTATATTTGCTTGAATAATTTTTTCAATTTTTTTTGTTTACATTTTTGCTGGTTTTTATAAAATTTATATCGCAATAAAATATGTAAATCAATGGACATTATTGCACTTGGAAAAAAATCCATTTTTCCTAACTTACACCCACGCATAATTTGTTTGATGGGTGTTTTTCTTTTAGCATGTGGCAAAATGATGTCATTTTCGCTCTTGTCTATCAGCCAAAAACCTCAAGAATATGAAGAAAGGAAAAAAGCAACCTTTTTTCTCATAGCATTTAGTTCTTATGCAGGTCCAAGCCGTTGTCAAGAAGTATGACATTCTTTTTATTGCAGATGAGGTACTTCCATAATTATTTATATTTAAGGTATTCTATTGTGATGTTTTTCATTCTAATTGCTATGTTATATGTCTCTTTTTAAGGTAATCTGTGCCTTTGGAAGGCTGGGGACAATGTTTGGATGTGACAAATACAACATTAATCCAGACCTTGTATCCCTGGCAAAGGTAAACATGAAGCAGCCAAGTACATATAGTCCTTCCCATATTCAGAAGTTTGTAAAATGTTCCTCATTTTTCTGTTTGACTTCTAGGCACTGTCTTCTTCTTATTTGCCAATTGGAGCTGTCCTGGTTAGTCCAGAAGTTTCAGAAGTTATACACGCACAAAGCAACAAACTTGGTATGGTGCTTCATTCATTCATTCATTCATCAGAATTTTCACTGTATCTTTGAGCCAAGTATTCTGACACATGTTTGCTTATTTAGGTATATTTTCTCATGGGTTTACTTATTCTGGACACCCCACATCCTGTGCTGTTGCACTTGAAACACTCAAGATCTATAAGTGTGTCTTTTTGTTTCTTGATTTTAAAAACTATTGTGAAGCTTATTCTATACACTAGTAACTGTTAAACTTTGGGCTATGGAGTGTAATTATACCTCTTCTTTGCAGGGAAAGAAATATTGTTGATCAAGTGAACAAAATCGCCCCAAGGTTCCAAGATGGTGTAAAAGCTTATTCTGACAGTCCCATCATTGGAGAGGTGAATATTATTTGCTGGGTAATTTTAAGTGTGGTTGATATAAATGCATGACAAACATAACATTACGGGATCTGCAGATACGGGGAACTGGCTTGATTTTGGGCACTGAGTTCACAGACAACAAGTCACCTAATGATCCGTTTCCTCCTGAATGGGGCAAGTTCAATACTCAATTTTTCATCTATGCCTTTGTCAAACATAGTTGTCTCAACATGGCTATTCTATCTTGTCTAGTATTCTTAACTGGAATTTAAGCAGCATACATATTCTAATAAAATGGCTATCCTTTAATACACTTTAGCAATCTGCATAAAACATTCTGACATTACGTGGGTTGCATTCTTTTCATGTTTAAAATCTATAAAAGGTGCAAGGTAAATGTTATTATATAATATGATGGTTGCTTTGTTTATTTATTTTTTGTAAATTATTAACAGTGGTATAGTTACATGTGAATTAAACAAGCATGATGTTTTTATTTATGTGGATGTGGGTATATTTTGTGATTGTGATAGTGTGATGTATATATACTACAGGAATAGGTGCCTATTTTGGGGCACAATGTGAGAAGCATGGGATGTTAGTTCGTGTATCGGGCGATAACATCTTGATGTCTCCACCATATATTATATCTCCAGGGGAAGTTGATGAGGTAACTTTACAAATAACCTTCCATCTATTTTTGCCGTTCATCAAAATTAAAGAGAAATTCATCCATTTTCATTAAATTTGGCCTTTGGACACAAAAAAATCCTCACCTTACTGGAGTAATAATGAGTATGATTGTGGAGAATCACACTTCTTTTATTCAATAACCCTGGGATTTTTTTGGAGACCTCATTGCTAGGGACGTCATCAGATTAAATTTATCAGATGGGGCTTGCTTTCAAATTATATATAATGCATACATGGAAAAAAAAAATTGGCTACACCCCAAAACATACAAGTAGTTCCATCTCTGTTCATTCACCAAGGGGAACATTGTATACAAAAAATAAAATGCATGCAATTACCCAAATTGCTTGATTAATTAGTATAATAATAACTTAAGGTTCTATGGAACGATTTTGTGCGACTAATAAGACCAGTCCAATGTATATTAGTTAGTTGTGCTTCCTCTGGTCCTCTCGGATTAAACATAAGTGATAAGTTGTATATATCTTTGACAAATAAACATTATGTACTTATGTAGTTTGGGACTGTTAATTTTTTTTACCCTCTTTTTTTTTTGTTATTCAATAGGCAATTTGCAATTTGTGTCATCCGATACTATAATGATGTTATTACTTTAAATTGAAAATTTGTTAGAAGTTTAGTATATGCATTTCTTTTTCCAGCTAATCAGCAAATATGGGAAAGCCTTAAAAGACACGGAAAAGAGGGTACAGGAGCTCAAGTCTCAGCGCAAGTAGAGGTCGATCTCAATGATGGCATAATAAACTCTGCTGCCTTCGGGTGAAAAATGAATTATTCATTGTAATAACTGGATAATACTTTGTTCCAACGTTTTCGTTACTGTATATGTCCGTAAATTAATTGCCTAATTGCTTCCTAATTTATATTGTAGTTATATATATATATGCTTAGAATAAAGCTCGTTACACGTCTCCATATTGCACATAGCCTTTTATCAATGACGTGGCAGCTTTCAGTAAGCCAAGCTGTAATAAGGCGATGGAAATTGTGCACAATGGAGAAATGTGTGCATTGGCCGTTAAAATTAAGTTATAGACTTGTAGTGATCTAGAGTATCTAATGGCTCGTAGAAAAGCGCGAGTTATTTGTGAATAAGGTGTTTGTGCAATTATCACTCAACCATATTTATGTTCCTATATACCTTTACACAAATTTGTGATATTAACATCTCGGGGGAAAAATTCGTATGAAAAAACAGCATGCAGAACACTACTTGAATATGAGTGCATTCAAGATTCTGTATCATGAAACATGAATTGTTGGATATTTTGATGGTCGTGAATTCTACGGAGGTATGAAACTTTACCAATGGCTTGACTCAACCATGTGGGCTTTGTTGGATTGACTACTCATGCACCTTTTAAGTGCTTGCATATTCCGTTGACGCTTACATTCATCGTTAATATATCGATATTTTAAGTTAAATAAATACAAATAAATGGAGTCAAAATTGGTCTTAAGGACTTCTGACTAAATGATAAACACTGAGGATGCGTGAAACGGTTGTTTGTAATTTTTTATTTACAACAAATTAAAAAAATTCATCTTATTTATTTTAAAATATTCATACAAAAATGATGCAAATATTATTATTTTCACTAATTTCACAAGTCTAAAAAATTTAGGTAATTGCCGTAACAAGGTAATATTTTTCTAATTATTTATAAAAAAAGAAAGTGTTTTTTTTAGTCCTTATACCATCTCTTGCCCTATCCCTTGGGGGGAAAAAATGAAAAGACAATTAGAGTGTTGTAGGTCAATAGATGAGCAAAGAGGAAGTTGACTCTACAAATGATATACAAATCCAACCTTTGCAATTAAAGTATTATCCTCAAATACAACGTGTATTTTAAAATGATGATCGATTATGATGGGTGGATTTCAGTGATTTTATAATAGTTTCAATCGTGTGACATAAACTTGGCCTGTTTTTGGCTCAGCGTGATAGTGAAGCTATCAATTTAAGCTTCTACATTATATATAATTTAATCGCGATTTTGGTTCATATATACGCTACTTAATTCACAAAAAAATAAAACACAATTTATTGTTCAGCACCCGTTATGATTAACGAGTACATCATAATCCGACTTCGGCTAAATTTGCATTATAAAGAATTGTATTAAAAAAATAAAAAATTATTATCACCACACATGATGGCATAATAACGCTATTCATCGGCTGAACACCTCATTGAATCTTAAAGCTAACATGGGGTTTATTATAACAGCTAAATACATACGAATTAATTAACGAAACACAAAAGAACATGATTTTTTTTTTTAATTCTTCTATTTATAAAAAATAGGGATAATTATGTTAGTTGTGACTATATATATATATGATTTAAGAATAAAGAACTTTCAATCTAACGATTGAATTTACAAAATTCACAATTAATAAATTATGAAGACTAAAATGTAGAATAAATAAAATTATAGAGATTAAAAAATATTTTAATCAAAAGTTAAAATCAAACTTAACGACTTCGAATTTAATAATTTAAATTTTGGTAGGTGGAGGGAAATTTAATAAATTGAGGATGCGTGAAACAGGGGCATGTGAAATATTCTAATTTTTATTTTACAGTAAATTGTGGAAAAAAACATGTTGTTTATTTTTAATTATCTATACATAAATGATGCAAATGTTGTTATTAATTTTACTAATTTTGTAAGTCTAAAAAATTACTTAATATATTTTTTTAATTATTCATAAAAGTAATTATGTAGTTGCTCTTTCTGGAGTCTCGATCCCTGAGGAAAAAGAATAGCCTGTCTTTGGTTGGCGCTATCAATTTAACTTTCTTCGTTAAATCTAATTTTGGTCCATAAAACACGTGAAATGCCATTTATTATTCTGCACCCATACGATTAACAACTACATCTTAATCCAACTCAAACTAAGTTTGCAATATCAAAAATTGTTTTTTTTAAATCATTATCACCACACACATAATGATGCCTCATTGAATCACAAACCCAAGTTGGGAAGAAAATGAAAGGAAACCAAACTAAATAGACAAGTAAGTGCACCTGATTTGGAAACTTCATTGATTCCTTAAAAACTAAAGCAGAGAGAGATGATTGAATGGAGTCATCTTTTGTTATTATTTTTGTTGGCTTGTCTTCTGGCACGCCTCTCACGGGAGCTAGGGGATGGCCTATAAACCCCATCTTCATACTCAGATTCTTCCAAATCTCTAAATGATTTCTGTGCCAATTAATTAATATTGCATACTAAAACTTAGAATTTAACATAGTTAAATAAAGCATAGTTTGTGAAAAAGGGTGGGTCTTATCTAATAATAAATGGAAAATACTCTTGGATAGAAAAAATAAAAAATAAAAGCATAGTTGATGTTGCTTACCTCTCTAAGCTCAGCAAAGCTCACTGCATAGAAGGTGGCAGCAGCAGCCACAACGACCCCAACAATAGGCAGAGCTATTTGTAACCCTTCCATGTCTGCTTTCTATTTCTCTTTCTCAAAGTAAAAGGGTCATTACTTTTGTTTTGTTTATGTGATTGCCAATAAAGAGAATACCATGATGATGATAAGATAAGATATCCTTCGACTCTATCTACAGTTCCCCTTTTACAGTGTCAAGTTATATTGCCTTCGATGCTGTTAATCAATCACTTGTGATTCAACCGGCAACTTGCTATTACTTGTTGACAAAATTTATTTATTATATAAAAAAATAAGTTATTCTAATATATATATATTTTTTTATCATTTGTTTCTTAGAAAAAACAGTAATGTATAATATTTTTAAGATTTTAAAATTGGACAGGAAATTTAGCAGCCAAAAATTGTTCGTTTATGTTAATTGACTAACTCTGGACAAATTATAATTCACTATTACCGATTAATTTTAAAAGTTAAATAATAGTTGATATAAAATGGTAAAATACATAAATTGGGTGATTTTTTTTTTTTTTGGATATATAATCATGTGGGATCTAGTTGTATGGACCTAACTAATACCTTCACACTCTATGTTAATTTAAAGGGAGTGTTTGTTATATGATTTTTTTTGTTGAAAATATGATATCGAAAATATTAGTTTATTTTATTTTATTTTTTGGATGTATAATCATGGGATCTAGTTGTATTGAACTAGCTAATATCTTCGTACTTTATATTAATTTAAAGGGAGTGTTTGTTATATGATTTTTTTAAAATATGATATCGAAAATATTAGTGTTTTTTTTGTATTTGATTTGATATTTAAAGAATGACATTTTTATGAGACATTATTTTTGGGAAATGGTATTTCACGAGCTTTTGATGATATTATTTTCATGAATAGAGGTGAAAAATTAATTTTTTTTTTTGAAGTAAAAATAAAGTTTTTATGCTATAAAAATAAAAGTCTTTAATTCTCAAGTAATATTTGTAAACATTTACGATTAATTAAAAAAAAATTATAATTCTTAAAATTCATGGTTCCTAAACATAAAAAAAATAATTAATTATATATTTAATGTCCTCTAAAAGATAAAGTGTTCTTAAATATTGTAGCTCTATATTTAAGGTACAAGGAGATTTGATCTCACAAACTTGTTTGAGATAAAAATGTCAAATTATGAGTATTTAGCCATCTTTAATGTTAGGTAAAACAATTTAAGTTAATATAGAAGAATCTTGACATATTTTATTAGATTTAAAATTCATAATAAATAAATGATATTATATATATAATTATGAATTGATATAAATAATACATAATTTAGTTCAGATTTGTGTTCTTTAATATAAATTAGACATTTTTTAGTGTTAAAAAATACTTTTTTTTAGTGTTTACTGACTCTTAGTTTAATAAGTAATGTCTTAACTTTAAATGAAGATTTTTGAATTTTTAACATGTCATTAACTATTTGAATTATAGTTATGAGAGTGACATCTTAATTCTCCGTCTACCATTTTATGTAAAAAAAAAAGAGATTTTATTTACTTAAAAGTGTATTAGAAATAAATTAAAAAAAATAATAATAATAATAGAAAAAGAGTTATACATAGACAGTGTAAAAAATTTTACACATTCATTCAATTATAAACTGTCACATCAATAATAATTTTTATTCAATTAAAAGTATAGAAAAAAATTACACAAATAATATATTACCATTAAATCCATTTTATAAAATAAATCATTTCAATTCATTTTAACGTGTATTTTTACATACTTTTATTTATATATATATATATATATATATATATATATCATAGAATTTGATCAATTTGGTTAAATTTTAACTCCATAAAAATTTTAAATTATTTAGACGGAGATAATTTTTTATTCAAATTTATCAATCCAAATTTTCAAACTATACCAATAATATATAGGGCTAAGATTGTGTGATGTAATAAGAAATAGTAATATAATTTTTTTTTCTGGAATACTTTCTTAATACTTTTAATGCTAAGTCAAAAGTATTGAATTAATTTATATAATTTTTGCGCAACTCTTGTTTCTTTATTTTATTTTATTTTATTTTTATTAGTTGATCAATATCTAATATTATTTTAAGAACTTCAAAATGAATTAAGAGATAAACCTATAATTTCAAAATCATAAAAAGAAATTTAGACTTTAATTTACAACAATAAAATTAATTTTAAGAGAATAAAGAATTAACATAAAGTGTGAAAAATTTAATTGAATATAACTATAATGTAAACATGAGTTAATTTAATTAGATGTTTTTACATATTTAGAGATAAAATATATAAAGAATGTTTAGTTTACTCCCTCTTCATAATTTGAATTTTTAATCCATTTTAATTGTTTGTTCTTCTCCTTATTTAAATTATAAACTTTAAAATTTATCTGCTGAATTCTAAATTTTAAAATAATTAATAAATATATATAAAATTATATAATTATATTGATAGTCATAAATGAAAAGTTTTATTCTAATTTTTAATTTGAGATACCGATTATGATTTTCTTTTCAATTTATTAAAATTAAAGTGTTGAATATTCCTTTAACAGTAGCAAGACTGATGACAATTTGTGTTTGGTATTGATTCTTTCAAAGAAAAGACAGCCGTCTTCATGTTTTGCACATACAGAGGGCGGTTTGGTCGGTTGTGTGTGACCACCACTTTGAGACCAAAAAGACGTCACTTTTCTTTTTCTAATTTGATTTTTGTATCACCAATGACTAATAAATAGCCCTACACTTATATATATGTCTTAAATTTCAAAATAGTACTATATTTCTAGAAGACAATAATTGAATTTTTAAATAATTTGTTTCAAACTATATTTATATTATTTATGTTTAATATTTAAAAATATTATTTATTTCAATATGTTAGTTATTTATTAAAAATCATTTCATTGACTACTTTAAATAAATTAATAATCTTTTTATTTAATATTTCTCTTTTTGACTTATTTTTAGATTAAAATAGAAATTTAATCATTAATTAATAATCTAATTTAATATATTTATATTTAATAAAAAAAATATAATGTCCATTCATTTGTTTTTTTGTAAAAACTTTGAATGACACATATATTAAAAAATATTAATCATTTCAAATTTTATTAATTATATTTAAGTGTAAAATTAAGTTTCTTTTTTTAAAATAAAATCTTAAATTTAAGTTTTAAATATAAATAAATGTTAATTATTCTTTTCTTCTGATGTTTTTCTAAAAATATTTTTTCATTAATGCACAATTTTTTATCTATATTTTTTTAATATTTATAAAAAAATATTATGTTATTAATAAAATTTAATATAGATAAAGTTGTATATAGGTGTGCATGGTTGTGCTGTTACATGACTCATATTCATAATGAACAAGCAAATGTTGGAGTAAAGTAAATTAGACTTAGATCATCAATATGTTGCAAACTAATTGGATTGGGGTGTAGGACTATGCTCTCATAATTTATATATTTGATATAACCCTATTTTTAATAAATAATAATAGAAAACACACGTTTTGTTTTTTAGGAGGTAGACACATTGTCAAACCTCTTTAAACTGTTATTTGTGTGTTGAGTGTTTTATTCTCTGTTTTATAATTTAGTTGTATTGTTTGTGTGTTGAGTATTTTATTTTTTGATTTAGAATTTAGTTACTATTTCTAACGGTGGAATCCCAAACGATGAAATTACTTTAAAAAAAAAACAGTACAAATGGACCATTACTGCCTCCGTTTTTTTTTTCATAGTCGTTTTGTCAGAGTTTGTTGTTTTTTTTTTCATTGTCATATTACTAAAATCAATGAGTTATTAATTTTTTCTTCCATTTTTACCCTTAATAATTAATACATGTTTCCTGAACAATGTGTGTATTTATTTTTAATGTCTACCTAATTTTTCTCTAACTACTCACATAAAGTTAATGTGCATTTATAAGAGCAATATATTCCCAACAAAATACTATAAAAAACAAAAAAAGGGACAACTATTTAATGGAGTAGTTCAGCAGTCTAAAACATGCAAAAAAAAATAGAGGGTAAAATAGGAAAGTAAGTAATAAATATTTTTGAAAACTAAAATATCAATGATTTCCTTAAGTCCCATGCAAAACCTTAAACGACTATGAAAAAAAAACGGAGAAAGTATTAAATACTCGTGAATAAAAAACTTTTATTTAAAGGAGAACATGACCATATGAAAGAGATTCAAATTTGAGACGAATGTTGAAGTTTAAATATAAAGTGAAGTTTCATATCAATTAGAGTTGAGAAAAATTAATTTTCTAATGTCTTAAGATTTTAAATTATGTTATGATATTAAATTCAGTTATATGATTTACTTTTTATTCATTGATAAAATATCTTTTAATATTTAAATTCCTCCAACTCAGCAAAATAAAAAATATATTTTTACTTATAATAAAGAATTATTATTTTTTATATATTTATAATAAAGAATCATAAGAGCATTGTAATATTTAAAAAAAATGTTTATGATTTATGAGAGAAAATTTTGGTAAATAGATGAAAAAAGGGTGGCAATATCTAATACTAGGGGCGTCCCGACCCACTTATGAGTCGGATTGACTGTTACAGGGCCCCACCACCATTGTCTCAAAATGAAAATCAAAATGAAAATATGGTATTTTTCCTTCAATTCTCATCTCCTCCTACCCCCTTAACTTATATATCATCCCTGACTCTCTCTCTCATCTTCCATTTTCTCAATTTCCATCATCACACATTACCTTCATCACTCTTTTTCCTAATTATTTTTTTTATTTTCAGATTCAAACAACACTAAACATTTTCTGCGACCAAAGCATCCAAACTTTTTCCAGGCAAGAAATTTCTTTCCCTCTTTTCCTTTTTCTTATTCATATATAGTTTCGTCTGTGTGTCGGTTTATCATGTCCAATGAATTGACCAACCAGCATAGCTAGCTGCTTTAGACTTGTGTTTTCAGATACCCTTTGATTTTCTTTTTTCTGAATACTCAATATCCAAACCTTGCATGTGTGCTCTTTTGATTCTTCTTAACATGTCTTCTTTCATCTTTTGATCAGACTTGATCCTTATTCTCTGGGATCAGAATATGTACTCTCTCTATATTTTCCTCATATGATTCATGCTTGTCAATTGTTCTATGCAACTTTTGA